GAAAAAAAATTAAGAGAGACAACCAGAAGGGGCAAAAACGTAATTTCGACCTTGCTTCCCCCACTATTTTCCTTCTTGAAGAGAGAAACAGACTTGACGTCAGGACAAGGGAATGCAATTTCTTCTACTTTTTCCCCTTAATTTTCCCCCCAATTGTTAATCAGAATTACTTATAACTTAATCTATATATAAGATTGTAAAGGACAAATATATATCTATATATATATAGGAGATAAAGTTTTAATGTCTTACTCCCTTGTCTCTATATATATAGTACTTTGTAAAAATTTATTTTGTTTTTAAATAAAATAAATATCATGATATTTTTGAATAATTAAATAATTTTATCGCTGTCTTAAAAAGGGAAGGAAATGTTAATTGTGTGTTTTATTTCCTATCACCATTATGTTAATTGTGATATTATTAGAGATAAAATTGAAAAATTGTTGTGGTTTTATGTGCTTTCAACTAATAATAAATTTTTATTGATACGCAAAATTTAATTAAAAATACTTTATATACAATGATGGATAAAGTATTTGGTTATAAATATAAAGCAAATATATGATAATTATTTTTTTAATATTATCACAGCTCTCCTTTGGCACCAAGTTATTATCAGCAAATTTTTAATTTTTAGATACATTTTATTGTGATAATTAATTTTAGTGAAGGGAAAAGCTATAAGTCAAACAAAAAAAAGTTTTTTTTACAAGTTTAAAGCTAAGAAAAATGACAACAAAATCTCTTTAAATTATGTAAATGATATTTTGATCCCTCAAATGCCATACTTTTCTTAAAGTTTCTATAAACGTTTCTGTCATTAAAAATTAATATAAATAATTAAATTATTTTTCATTCAAATATTAATTGTCATTCATAAGTTTTATTTAAGATTCATAACTTTTTTTTTAAATCATAAGAATTTAACAGTAATCCATAAGTTTGTATTTAAAATTTTGATATTCTTTAAGTGTTGAAAATATTAAATGTCATTAATAAATTTTGTTTTGAGATTCACAAATTTTCTTTTTAAAATTGTAAGAATTCAATAGCAATTTATAAGTTTAAATTAAGAGAAATTTGATCATTTAATAAGTTTTTAATTTTAGCCCTATTAAATTATATATATTTAAAAAATCAAATACTCTAACATTTAATAATCCTTTCAACATTTAACAAGAGTAAAAAGGTAAAAATACATACAATAATTATTAAGTGTCATATAAATAAAATCAAAACAAATACTTTCTCTGTCCCATAAATAGAATTGGGGAGTTCTGCTGTATTTCACCTTCATTCTCATCGCTCTCAAGTCTCAATAATAAATCTCAATATGAAGTATAAACATTACCTCCGTTTCTATTTGGTTTTGTTGTCTGTATTTACCATATATATATATATATATAAAAGTTATTTTTGTAAATTTTATGAATCAAGAATATTGTTAAATACTTCTCCTAACCTTAACTAAGACCACGAAGTTTGAAAGATTTTTTTGCTCGTGAATATAAAACAAAGTTAGAATAATTAATTTTTTTTAATTTTATCCCTTATATAATTATTTATTTCCATTTGAATTCGTAAAAAATAATTTATTATAATCATTAATTACGTAGAAAAGTAAAACTAAAAAGTTATATATATATATATATATATACAAATTTTATAATTTTAATGATATAACTAATATTTTTTAATAAGCACAAAGTTTGTTAACTTCATTTTATATTAAAAAAATGAAATAGTACTAATTATATACTCCCTCATTCAAAAATATGAGACATTTTTAACTAAATCTTATCCCCTAATAAAATAATTACCTACTTTTAAACTAACTTATATCTTTTTATATTTACCCCTATTAAATACCCTACAATAAATATAAAGTCATTCATTAATATCTCAAAAGACTAAAAATGTTATCATTTTTGAACATCCAACTTCTTAAAAAATATCTTATATTTTTGAATGGAGGAAGTATATGATAGAGGGAGGGATTGAGAGGAATAGTAAATGATTTGCATTCAATTAAAGATGTTTTGTGGAATTGTGGATAATTTTGAGACATTCGACTACTTTTAATTGATTTTTCTTTGCATGAATTCACAAAATATGGCTTGTAAATAGAAATAGGCAAAGTAAAATACTAGAATTTATAAGAAGGTACAGTTGTTTCTAAGGGTGAAAAAATGTTAACCCAAGTAAAGTTTTAGTTAAATAAGCCATGAGCCGGCATGATATGTTAAAAGCATAAACTTGGCCTTAAACCTTTTTAAGGCTTTTTTTCATGTCTCAAATTTAAACCTACCTAAAGTCTAAACTGACTTGGAAGCCTTTTAAAAAAATAGATTTACATATCAGTTTTAAATATTTCAAATATATTTTAAAACTATTAAAGCAATACATGCACAACTTGTTTATAACTATAATATATAATAATAAAGAGAAATTATCAATTATAGTACAATACAACAATAAATTAAGAATATTAAAATCAATATAAATCTAATATACTTGAAAACATAACCAATAAACTAGAAATAAAAAGAATAAATTGAATAAAAAATGAAATGATGAAACTGATATATCATCAATTTATTATACAAAAGCTAATAAAAAACACAGGCAAGAAATAACTTGTATAGTGCTTTCGAGTTTTGATTCGAAGGAAGAACAAGAAAAAAAGGGCCAAAGAAAGGTAGAGGGGCGAAGTTGATTATTTCATGGTCACTAAATTAAATATTATATGTATATATATATATATAATATCACTAAATTAAATATAATACTACTGATTTAGCTTTTAGTTAGTCAATAAACCAAACTCAATTGATTATGTGTATATTTTTCTACATGTAATATTAATTCATATTAATGTTACGTTGACAAATATCTATATTCATATACATATAAGTATAAGTTATTCCAGTTTATTTTTAAGTCACTTTCAAAATTTTTCATGGAAAATTTAAAAGTCATTAATTATTAATTATATTTTATCTAGAAAACAAAAATCTACTTTCTCACATAAACATTGAATATGGTTAAAAGAGAAAAACAGTAAATAATCAATATATGTGGTGTCTTATATATATATGAAAAGCACCATAAAGTCCCTTCTCCAAGTGTTTTATAAACAGAACATAAGGAAGTCATGACTTGGAGAAATAATGTATAACATACATGTAGCAAAATCAAAAAGGTATACTCAAACATGTATATCTTTCCAATCATATATACAGTTGTGTTTAGAAAAAAAAATGAAATATCCCTTTAATTTCTAATGTTATGAACAAAAAAATAATAATATCAGAAAAACTTAATTCTTTCCATTTAGAATCTGTTTGAAACGGATAGAAAATAAAAGGAGAAAAAAAAATTAAGAGAGACAACTAGAAGGGGGAAAAAATGTATTTTTCACCCTTGCTCCCCCCTCCAAAAAATTTCCTTCTTCAAGAGAGAAAAAACTTAATGTTAGGATAAGGGAATGCAATTTTCTTCTATTTTGTTCCCTTAATTTTCCCCTGCCTATTTTTCTTTCATTCCAAAGGAAGAGATTGAGTCAGAATTACAAGGAATAATAAATACTAATTTGCGTCAATAGTATGAGAAAGTTGTAAAGGACAAAGCCCATATACTGCCTCTTATCCTAATTATAAGAGATAAAGTTTTAATGTCTTATCCTGTCACTCCTATATTTATATAAGGTGTTTTGTAAATTTTTATTTTTTTAAATAAAAGAGGTATCATAATATTTTTAAGTAATTAGACAACTTTATCTTTGTCTTAAAAATAGAAGAAAATATTAATTATGTGCTTTATTACCTACCACTATAATATTAATTGTGACATTATTAGATGTAAAATTGAAAAATTGTTGTGGTTTTATGTGCTTTCAACTAGTAATAAATTTTTATTGGTAGATTCAATTAAAAACAATTTATATATAAGGATGGATAAAGTATTTGGTTCTAAATATAAACCAAAGATATAGTAATTATTATTTTTTCAATATTATCACAACTCCTTTATGGCACCAAGTTATTATTAGAAAACTTTTAATTTTTAGATACTCCCTCCATTCAAAAATGTAAGGCATTTTTTAAAGAGTTTGATATTAAAAAATGTAAGGCATTTTTAGTCTTTTGAAGTGTAATCATTTCCTTTTTTTAAAAGTGTCCCTATTAATAGTAACTTTATATTTATTATAGAGTGTTTAATAAGAGTAACTATGAAAAGATAGAATTAATTTAAAAGTAAGTAATTACTTTATTGAGAAGTGAAATTCAGTTAAAAATGTCTTACATTTTTAAATAAAGGAAGTACATTTTATTGTGATAGTTAATTTTAGTGAAGGGCAAAGCTGTAAAGTCAAATATTTTTACAAATATTTTTTTACAAGTTTAAAGTTATTAACTGCATTCTTTAATAAAATAAAATTAATTAACTTTACCTTATAATTAGGACATTAGAAAATATATGATTTAATTTTGAGTCTGTTGTTGGGGATTTTTTTTTTTAATTTTTTGTGTGGGGATCAAAGTGTTAGTGGTTGAATTATAAAATCCCATAACTTCAATTGGATGGGAGGGAAGTAGTTATATGTTTCTTTTCTCTGAAATAAAAAAGCATCATGAGACGCACAGTATTCATGAATTCACAAAAGCCACACAAATCCTTGTAGGTAGATCATCACCATAATCTCGATAGTCTGCATGAGGCAACCCCAAAAGAAGACGTTGCTTTCCCAGTTTGAGGTGTGTAATTAACCAAATCCAACTGTACCCTTCTTCAGTATTGTTTCTGCGAACCAAGAAAAGAAGGCCAATTTAATATTTGGATGTAAATAGTTAAGTGTCATGTCGTGGCCACACATAAAAAAGACATTGGTAATTTAAGTGACAGCCGAAAGTTATGGTTCAGAGAGGGTGAGAAGGTAGCAAGCATGTATTAATTATTAGCCCTATAAATGGACGAAGGCAAGAGCTCTGAACAGTCTCTGCAATATATATAATTTGTTCATTCTGGGTTTAAGAGATATATATATACACTACCCAGATCAGCAAGTGATCGTTAATGCAGAGAGAGTTTATACCGTAAGGCTTAAGTAGAGCGATTTGATCCACAAAGATTCAAGCATTTTGGGTAAGATGGGTGTGCTATGGTGGAGGCTGATTCTTGATCTTCTACTTTCCGGGATTCTCTTCTCTCTTCAACCTGCTTGCGCCTCCTTCCACAAAGGTGTGTTTGTGTGTGTGTATTTTTTCTATATCTTGTTCCTTCTCTTGTCTTGTCGCTGAGATTTATCTGTAATGTTTGATCATTTAATTAGAATGCGACATGGTTTATTAATTACTCTATAGTTAATTTTCTTTCTCGTACAAGACTCCCACTTGGATCGTTATTAGGCGAAGCTCCATGCAGATGATGAGCAGTTCCTGGAATTCAGTTCATGACAGTCTGCTACAAAACTTGTTTGATTTCCTTATGTTTGAGAGCCTTTTTTTTTTTTAATTTACAGTATAATGCTTGCTCCATATCAAATTATAGAATACTTTTAGATAAATAATACACACCAATAAAGCTCATTTTATATACTTTACAATATAAACATTTAAAAATGCCTTCCATTTAATATTTTCTTGGTAAAAAAATACCCCACTCTTATATTTATAGGGTAGAGAGAAAATTAATTTTAGTCCTATTCGTAGGGCATTTTACTATTTTGTGTTTATCTTACCTATTTGCTCTTATTAAATGCTAGAAAAAATTATTAAAAATAGTTCTTTTTGTCTATATTAAGGGATAAAAGTGAAAGCTTATTAAATTTTTTTATAGGGTTAATAAAATTTAATATTTTTCTTGATTCTGATAAAACATGTTGAAAATAATGACTTAAAAATAAAACCAAAGGGAGTATTAAAAAGAGGAGAATATATAGGAAGAATAATATTAAAAAAATATTATTAATGAAACCTTATTTTTATTAAAGTATCTTATATTTTGATATTCTAAATCTCTCCAAAAATGTCTTATAATTTGAAATGAGATAGTAAGTTTTTTAAAATACATGAAAATATTTGAAATATATTATAACAATGATCGGAGGACTAGTTAAAAAAAAAGTTCTTTTTTTATAATGGCCTTTTACATTGATTTAAAAAACCAGTGCTAAAAATATTTCTAAGCTATGTAAAAAGTTTATCCTGTTTTTGAAGCCGCGCAGTGAAAGGTATGTTTGATTTTCAATTTTCATTCTCCAAAAGTTTATTTGGAAGAAACAATTATTTATTAAATTTGATAAAAATAAATCTTAAATGTAATTTAAATGTATTTTTAAAGAAAACCCATACAAAATCAAACTAGTGTATGGAGGAGAAATTGACTTCATATTCTCTTGACTGTGAGCACTGGGTATATATCCAGAAAATTGTGACTTATGTTTTCTGTATTTTTTATCAATCCTCATCTTTTATTACTGAATATGGTGGTTGATGAAAGTCTAATTTAACTTTGTTTGAGGTAGATACTTGGTTTGCATTGTCCTTAGTTCCTTTTGAATATATGTTTTCCTTTTTAGATTAAAAATAAGTTTATTAAGAAGTAAAAATTCAGCTGGGAAGGGGTATGCGGGGTAGCTAGAATAATGGGGACTTGATGTGCTTACAGCTGTATACATACTAATGCTAATAAATATCTACCAGAATCTGTAGGCATTTAATAATGGAAGCAACTCTTGTGTAAATGAAATAGTTTTAATAGTTTTACATTTAGGTTATTTTTAAATTTCATCTCTATTTTATTTTTAAATAAAAATATTTTTTTTTACAGTTGTGTATGTTTTTTTTTAATACATTACATTTAACTCTTGTAAGTTCTTGACATTAATCTCCTTTGCTACTTTGACCCAAAAACAAAAACAAAAAAAAAACAAAATCTCTTGCTACCACAATCAACCATAACGAATTACTATTATTGATCAATTTTTATATAAAAAGGAAATATAAAAAGGAATTTTGATATATTAATTATTTATCTTGATCTATCCATCAAATTCCCTTTTATTTTATCCCCACTTGACTTCACCTCTATCTCTTTAAAATAGAGGCAAATCTGAAACTTTTAAATTTAATATTTTTATTTTTATTTTATTTTATATTTTTAAAATAAAAATATATACAAATTATAAAAAAATTTAATAAATAAACGTATCAATTTGACTGTTCAAATTTAATATGAATTATCCAAATTTAATATTAAAATTTTATATTTTTTATTTAAAAAATATAAATTAAAAATAAAAAATAAAAAAAATTAAATATTTAGATAGTCCAGATTTGTCTCTATCTTGGTGAAGGGAAGCTGACTCCCGCTCAGACACCCCAAAGAACATGACCTATCACTAATCTTTTCAAATTTGTTTTTGGAAAACAAAAGCCCGAAAAAAAAAAAAAACCATACAATTACAAAAAGGATAATACTAAAAATGGAGTATGATATGAATAGTAATCAGGTTCAATCTCTGAACGCACAAAAAAACAAAGAATGAAACGAAATATACACATGCCCACAAAAACAAACATACTCCCATAACACTACGATATAGAGTATTTTATTTTTTTAAAGTCTTACTTAATTTAAAATATAAAGTATTGAATAATTTTTGTAATTAAATTTTTAACTATATATCTACTTCATTTATTACTCTTTTTTAAAAAATAATAATTAAAATTTTAATTTTTATTATTAAGGTACTTATAAAAAATATTTAAGAAGATATAATTAAAAAGGTATAATTTTTTTAAAAAAATTAGGTTTTAATTGATATTTTTTGAAAACTTTAAATTAATTATTAATGATAGTTTATACAGTGATATGGAGAAAGAATATGAATGTATGTATGTATGTTGAGAATTTGGGATATGACATTGACGATGACTGGCAAATAGATGTAAATTAAGGTAGGGCCTCAGGTGAGATTGAAATTGAAATGGTGAGGTCGATGCAGGTGGGAATGAGTACAGTTTCACGAAGGATGCAAGGTCAGCTCCAGATGCATCATACTACGACTACATCGTCATCGGTGGAGGCACCGCAGGATGCCCTTTGGCCGCCACTCTCTCCCAAAACTCCACTGTCTTGCTGCTTGAACGCGGCGGCTCCCCCTACGGCAACCCTAACATCACGGAGGCCGTAGCCTTCGGCGCTGCCATCTCTGATTTGAGCCCCACGTCCCCGGCTCAACGCTTCATATCGGAAGATGGTGTCATCAACTCCAGAGCTCGCGTTCTCGGCGGCGGAAGCTGCATTAACGCCGGTTTCTACTCTCGCGCTAGCCCTCACTATGTCAGGTATAGGTGAAACCGTTCAGTTTACTCAGAGTTAATTAATTTTTATGAAATTCAATTTAATTTAGTTTTATTTTTAATTTAATTTGGTTTGGTTAAAATTTAAATTAAATTTTAATACACTTATTTAATTTTTTTTATTTTTATAATGATGCTATGTATTAAAATTAAATTTAATTCTTTTTAACTTTTTTTATAAATAGAGATATAAAAATATAATAAATTTCAATGTGATAACGATAATTAATCATAAAAATTAATATAAATTTTTAAGATTAAAATTATTTAATATTATGCATTTTCATTCAAGTCTTTTGAAAATATTTATTTATGTATCTATATTTTAATAAATAATAAAAAATTTATTATACAAAATTTAAAACAAAATACTTCTTGTAGATAAATGGTTATATATTTTATAAATAAATAAATAGTATTTTTTAATCAAGTTTGGTGTGGTTTGATTTGGTTTTTAGTATTCAAAACTGAACTTGAACCAAATCAATCAATTTTCATATCATAAAAATCGAAACAGACTTGATTGTTGTTTGGTTTTAATTGATTTCTTTCGGTTTGAATTGGTTTGGATCGGTCTTTTTAATTTAAATCGAATTTAAACACCCTTAATTAGGTAATAATAAATGTACTATATCAACAGACATATATTGCAAATGCGTTTCATTAATTCAACAAAAAACTACAATCAAAGATGTTCGATTATTGCAAATAACCGATCAAGACTAGTTTAATTAAATTTTACAATCATGTCCATTTATAATTTTAAAATTAATATTTTGGCAAAGGGAAAACTTATATCTATATATATATAATCTTATATATTTAAGATGCTTGTTTTTAATTAAAACAAGACATGTGTATTGTTTATAAATTATTTATTAACACATTAAACTTTATTGTTTTAATTTGATTGGATAAAAATATATTAAATATATAAGATTAAAGATTTATGTCTTGCCCATTTTGTTGAAAGTCCTCCTTCCCTTCGAAAAACAAAAAACAAAAAAGAAGAGATTTAGTTGAAGGGAATTATAAAATAACTTTATTTAAGTTAAAAATATTTTTACTATTAAGCTTGTAAATACTGAAATCATTTTAGTTGGAATGAAACTTTTGTTGATGATGGGGGTTATAAAATCACATTATTTGAATTGGAATTTTTTTTTTTTTTACTTTAGACTTCAAAAAATTGATCACTAGAATTGAATTTGGCCAATATAAAATTTGTTAAAGGTTAAATTATTTTAATTTGGTTGGAAATTTTAGTGAAAGGAAATTATGAAATCCCTTTGTTTTTCAATTGAAAATTCTTTTACTAATTGGGTCATTTTAGTCAAATTCCTATTTTTAAAACCTTTTTGGTTTTTGTTTTTTGTTTTAAAAAGACCATGATCCTAATTGGTTATTTGTCATATTTAGAGGTGCTATTTTCTCTTAATTCAATTCGCGCGCGCACCATCAGAGTGTAATTTACGGAAAGAATGATATGAAAGGGATTGGGAAATGAATTGTCAGGGCAGCAGGATGGGAGGGGAAATCAGTCAACGAGTCATACGAGTGGGTGGAGAAGGTGGTCGCCTTCCAGCCTGTCATGAGCAACTGGCAATCCGCCGTCAGGGACGGCCTCATCCAAAGCGGCGTCGTTCCTTACAATGGCTTCACTTACGATCACATCAACGGCACCAAAGTCGGCGGCACCATCTTCGACCCCCACGGCCACCGCCACACCGCCGCTGACCTTCTCCGATACGCCAATCCCTCACAAATCACCGTCCTTCTCCATGCCACCGTCCATAAGATCCTATTCCCTAGTCCATCCAAAGGTCCGTACGTCGTCCATCCATTTCTTTCTCACCTTCATCTTTTATCATTATCTTCATTTTTTTTCCCTTTTAAATTCTGAGTTCTGAAACTGAACAGGCAAATCAAAAGCCAGGGTGGCTCGTGGAGTCATTTTCAGGGACTCGTTGGGGATGAAGCATAGGGCATATCTGAAGAATGGGCCTAAGAACGAGATCATCGTATCAGCTGGGGCTCTGGGAAGCCCACAACTTCTGATGTTGAGTGGTATTGGGCCTCAGGCCCACCTTAAGGCCCATAACATTACTGTGGTCCTGGACCAACCTTTTGTAGGCAAGGGCATGTCCGATAACCCCATGAACGCCGTCTTCATCCCGTCTCCGATCCCCGTCGAGATCTCCCTCCTTAGCACCGTCGGCATCACTAGCTTTGGCTCGTTCATCGAAGCTGCAAGCGGCGAGAATTTCGCCTCTGGTTCTTCCAAAGACTATGGAATGTTCTCTCCCAGGGTACTCAATACATTATGTTATCGTCATCTCCATCTCGATATGCGCAGCTAGCTTCTGAATTCTGATCACATTCATGAATCGCAGATCGGTCAGCTATCTAAACTTCCACCGAAGCAGAGGACACCGGAAGCCCTAGCGAAAGCTGCAGAGTTGATGGAGAGCTTAGAGGGGGTAGCGTTTCAAGGAGGATTCATCTTCGAGAAGATAATGGGTCCGATATCAACCGGGCATTTGGAGCTCCGGAACAGAAATCCGAAGGAGAACCCGATGGTGACCTTCAACTACTTTCAGGACCCGAGAGACCTAGAGAGGTGCGTGCAGGGAATAAGCACAATAGAGAAGGTGATAGAGTCGAAGGCGTTCGCGGCATTCCGTTACCAGAATATGCCAGTGGAAATGCTGCTGAACCTGACGGCGAAAGCGCCTGTGAACTTACTGCCCCGTCACGCGAACACGTCGACGTCGTTGGAGCAGTACTGCAGAGATACGGTGATGACCATATGGCACTACCATGGAGGTTGCCAAGTCGGGAAAGTCGTGGACCGTGATTATAAGGTTCTTGGCGTGCAGCGTCTTCGCATAATCGACGGTTCAACCTTCCTGACATCTCCAGGAACGAATCCCCAATCCACTGTCATGATGTTGGGAAGGTATCATCTACGCTCTCAAAATTTCTGTTAATTTCTTACCATGAAGATTCTGAAAGCATTCAATTCGGCCATGTGAATCTATAGACTAACATCATTGAATGGCTTTGCATGGTGCAGGTACATGGGAGTCAAAATGTTGAGACACAGGCTTACGGGTGAGTGATGATGATGATCATGGATGAATGTTGGATTGGAGTAGTCCTTAATTATTTTCTTGTGTTGTTTCTTTAAATTTGATGTTGGGTTGAACGTGTGTGTCACATAATTTTCCCCCGCTCATTCATGTGGATGTCGTGGAGGCGTAATTTTGGGCTTGGCTTCTTCGACTATACATGATTGGTTATAAAAAATAATAAAAAATAAAAAATAAAATTTCTTTAAATTATATAAATAATAATTTAATATCTTAAAATATTATAATTATATTAAAGTTTTTAAAATTTTTTTATCATTAATAACTTTATATAAATTATTAAATTATTTTTATTGAAAATAAATAATTTATAAATTTTGCTTAAATATTCATATCTTTCTTTCTTATATTCACAATAATATAACAATAAATAAAAAATTTAATATATAAAGTTGTGATTTGTTGTAAATATAAAAAAAAATTATAAATATTTAAATAAAATTTATAAATCATTTATTTTTAATATGTTGGATTGGAGTAGTCCTTAATTATTTTCTTGTGTTGTTTCTTTAAATTGGATGTTGGGTTGAACGTGTATGTCACATCTTAATTTTCCCACGCTCATTCATGTGTATGTCGTGGAGGCGTAATTCTGGGGCTTGGCTTCTTCGACTTTACATGATTGGTTATAAATAAAAAATAATAATAATAATTTTTTTTAAAATATATAAATAATAATTTAATCCCTCGCAATTCATAATTCTCCTTAAATTTTTTAAAATTTATTTATTATTAATAAATTTATATAAATTATCAAACTATCCTTATTGAAAATGACACTTAACCATGAAGAAGCAACAAAACATATCATTCCCCTGTGCAGGATTTGGATTGATTAAGGGCTACATATCAAAATAAATAAATCTTTATAACTAATAAAAAAATATTCATAATTTTGCAGTGGCACTTAAGAATGTAATATTCTTTCGGCCGACAATTTGAGATGAAATTATGCATATCAATAAAGCTTAATAATAATATTTTATGAATTTACTTTTTTAAGTAAAATTATAAATTTTTAAAAATGTCTTCACATACTTAATCATTACACTGCAACATTATTTCAATTCTCTCTCTTCACTTGAAGGATAATATTAAAAAAATATTATTAATAAAACCTTAATTTTTCAAATTATCTTATATTTTAATACAACAAAATCCCTATAAAATTGTCTTATAATTTGAGATGGAGGAAAAAAAAATAGATTGATATTAGTTTAAATATTTCTAATTTAAGGAAAAGGCATCATTTTAAACACTTTCACGGCTATTGAAGTGTTAAAATAACAGAACCATTAACGAGTTGATTAGAAGCGATTTATAAGGCTGTTTGAATTTTAGTTTGGTATAATTAATTATTATAATTATGCTGTAATGTAATAATATTTAGATATTATTTTTTTAAATTAATTTTAATAGAATTGAAGATATTTAGATGATTTAGTTAGAATTAATTTTATATGTACAAATTATCATAAAGGACATTGTTTTTGAAGATTAAAATATTGATAAAGTTGTGGATAATAATATTATTAAATTTGTTCAACTTTCTTTAACAAGTAAAATATATTATTTAACTTATATACTTGATTACTTATAGAAATTTAAATTATATTAATATTAACATTTATTATTTTTTTACTAGAATACAGAACATTTAGTATATATTTTTTAATATTTAACTATTTATATTGATTGGCAAAAAATATTTTGATAAAACTTTATAAAAATTTAAAAAATTAGTTAAGTGAACTATTTATAAAAAAATTGTGTTTTTTTTTACAACAATAAAAAATTGTGTTAATTCCATAAACAACACATTTAATTGTTTTTTTTTATGCTGGAAATTATTTGTTATAAGAATTTGGAGGAGAAAACTAATCTAAAATGATGTACTGGATAAATGCCATTTGCGGGAACAAAGTTATGCAACCCAACTTGGTTCTTGATTTTCATAATAAATGCACTTAACGAGAAGAAAGAAAAAGAATGAGAGAGAGAGAGAGAGAGAGAGCAAATTGTCTGATTGTGAAAATGTTTTTGAGGCTCTCTTTTTAAACTATCCACACTGGTAGGAGTTATTTCAATGTCGTGCGTGCATCATGTGTTGGTAACCGTTCCCTCTCAAATTTAAACAATTGAGGAACAATTACACATTTGACCCCAGAGCATATTATGTTTTCAAACCAAAGTCTTCTCTATATTTTGATAAAATCCCATGGGCTTATATTGGGCCTGAGAATTTCATATAAATCTTGTTCCTTTTTCTTTCCTCTTTTATACCATGTGCTTTACCATGACTGCATTGGCTTGACACCTTCGCTTTGGATGTTTGTACTAAGAATCTTATTAAGGACCATCACAAATAACTTTAAAATTGAATTTATTTTTAATTGAATTTGTACCTTAATGTCCTAGATTTATCGATATACACTTTTCTCATTATGAGTAATCTGATCCCTCTCGAGTTAGTCTAAGACTCAGATAGTCTCCCTTATATGCACAGTATACACACTTATAAATCAACAAATTGTTTCATAAGGGATGTCTTGAATACGAGCATGGACGTGTATATTTAAGGTAATCTTCATTTCGCCCATATACCACTTTTATAGGAGACATTCACTTTCCTAACATGATACCTTTAGGTCACATCAATCATAATCATAGGATATATGTTAAAGTAGTAGACACTGTGATATATGAAACATTCTTACTCCACTAAACACCATTAACAAATAAAACTCATGGTAATCAAGGGATTAGCTCAAAGAGTGATTACCAAGGTTTAATTTAAAAGCAAGGGATCCCAAGTTTTCTAAATAACAATGAGTTTAAATCAATCAAAATCCTTCATATTAGAGTAAAAATAAGTTTCGGAAGAATGGGATACCTCATAGGAGTGAAAGAAGTCGAAAACGGTTGAAAAATAAAACTTGTGCTGTAATACAGGGCAATGCGCTGCGGCTCATGCACATTGCGCTGTGGCGTGTTGCACGAAATTTCTATTGATTCTGCTATCATTTGACAGCAAAATTGAAAAACTTCTAACACACCTTGATTCTCCGTCCGATATCTGAATAACGCGATCTAAGTGTTTACAAAAAGCTTTTTGCATGAACTAGCTAATGGCATGAGTTTTACTTTCAAAATAAGTCACACTAGGAAGTTGGACACCCAAACACATCTTAATACTTTTCAACACTTTTACACAAAATGGGTGTCCAAAACTCTTAACGAGTGCCAAAAGCTTTTTCTAACACCTGGGCCATGTCCAATGGACTTAGGACTACTAGCACATGTCACAAGTACGGAAACATTAGTATAACAAAAATTTACTTCTCAACCCCATTTTACCAAAAACAAAGGGGGAGGTAAATTGTCATTTGTAATGTCCACCTTGATATTACCAAAATTCACTACACAATCACAACAAACAATCATAATTAGGAGCAAAGATTGCGCCTAAGCTCACATTATCTATATAAGGGTTAAAACTATTAATCTTTTAGAAATAATTTTAGAAAATTTAGGATCACATAAAAACCCTTCAAATTTGTAGTTTGAGCTTAAACTTAATAATTTATAAAGGTATTAGAAGCATGAAAAAGTTTTGGGAAGCAAAACACTTCAAAATGGGCTAAAAATATCATTTTTGAGTGTTTTAGTCTATGCGCCACAGCATGTGGCACAGAAAGGCAAGTTTGTTTGCTGTACCGTGCGCCGCGGTGCATTTTGCACAAGCTGCGGCACACGTGTTAATGACAGCAATGCTGTTATGACAGCTTTTCTGGATGAACTTCAAACGCACGTCATTTTCGCATCCAATGTAAGACTTGAGTGATTCAAGCGCTCACGCGAAGCTTATTCAATAGGCTAACTAATGGTAAAAGCTTCGTTACAATCTGACACCGTATGAGAATTTTAGACACTTGGATGCAAAAGTCAGTTTTTAAAGCGATTTTCAACCATCTAAGTTCCCAAAACTCATAACTTATACCATTAACCCATTGTGAGGCTTGAACCAAGTCTAATGGACCAAAATACACTTGAATGAGCATTCAAACACACAAAAACATACCAAACATAAAATTTGGCCACTCAATGGCCATTTCACCCAATATGGCCAAAAATACAACATTAATACCATATACACTATTTGGCCTCTAAACACCACATATGCATTGTCACCACATATATCAAACATTCCTTTCACTTGTATTAATATTTTAGCTCATCACCACAAAAATTGCCACATATACACATCATATATAATATTAGGCTAAAATACAAAATAACATAGTATGAAACAAGTGCAACCAATCAAAATGATATGTATTCCTAATTGGCAACATATAATATCATATAACAAGTTTATGTACACCACTCAAATCAAAATTGGGAATTACTATTCATGATGTAGCAAATTTGCTAATCCTTGCCCGATTCCTTCCCTTGCTCAGTATCAGCGGTAGAACATGTAAAATGATAACCACGAAGTGAGATAAAAATCTCAGTAACTAAGATAATCTACATTATTTATTAACATGTCAAGTTATAAACAAGTATTAAAATAAGTAACATAACCACACGATATAAAATCACCATAAGTTACATACATGATCCCTAACTATTCGGTCTTCCAATACTCCCGACCAAACTGGTAGGCTATTTCACGGAACCAAACCACATGTATGGTCCTCAAGCTCACCATGCATGGTAGGACTACCCGGCCAAGGTGTCCTAAACCACTTCTGAACTACTGGTTCCCTTTATTATAAGTAATTGGGGTGTCGTTACTCCAACACCGCATCCTACGGATGTTGAGGAGCATATTCTCCAACTCCGCACCCTTTTGGATACTAAGGAGAGTAAGTGCTGCACCTGGCATCCTTAGGTGCCAGCATTGCCATATGGACTTAATCTTCACTAACTTCACTAGGACCTCCCACCCTCTAATATGCCACATTTCACTACATATTTCCACTTGACCATGCATAAATAACTTTTTAAAAAAATATAACAAATCTTACCATTTACTTCAAAAATATAAAATTTCACAAACTAATACTCCATTCATTTTCTAAAATAGTTAACCTTTATAAAATTTATACATATGTACACAACAAATCATAGAA